CTGACGACGAACAAAGCCACGAAGTACTTGTTTATTTACCGTGTTGCTAGGTAACTTACGTCACAAAGGCTCATACCGTGAAGGATTACGACAAAGCTCTCGCTCCAGTGATCAAACGCAATTTTGATCTCCACGAATGACTACAAGCTCAAGTTTCCTGTCCTGTTTACATCGAGTAGATCTTTGCTGACTTCAGATTCCTACGAGTTCATTATTAGCTGAAGATAAGCCCGATGATGCTGTGAAATTAAGTGTACTTACTGTTGATAACCCTCGAAGCTTCTTCCAAGATGACCGTTCCGATAATGGCAGACGAGTGAGTGATTGTGTTATTTTTATTTTCTTTGGTATTTGGTATGCAGCGTGAGCAGAAAAACCTCGATTTAACCACTTCTCCTTCTTTATACCACAGATCGTCCCGAGATGAGGGAGAAGTTTATACCTCTGTACCGGTTGTGGTCCTAACAGTTCATGAAGCACAAGAAGAAACCCATGTAAAGCGATCACATTTCAGCTACGAAGCTGAGGATGCTTTGCCGGTGGGTGAAGTTCATCTCAATAAATTATCTTTTTTTCACATTTAGTTTAGAGGAACATTTCACTGCATTTTCAAGCCCTTCAGATGACTTATTCGACGAGAATCATGCATACAAATGGGTAGTTTTGGAGAAAGTAGAGAAGAACTGCCTGTTTGTATACAAACTCGCGGCAAAATGATGGCTCCCGCGAACATAAAAATCCTTAAGACGTACTTCTGGATAGATCTCGAATTATCTTTTAAACTTGCGTACTGTATTAACCTTCATCTGAAGCGACGTAGTATTGTGTAGCGAAATTTTCCGGTCATTGAGCTGCCTTCGGAACCTTTTGTTGTATTGAAACGCATCATGCACTCATAGAAACAGCTCAGACTTTGTGACTTGGGGCGCACTGCCGATGAATTATGAGTCCGCTACGAAAGAGTCTTTTATTTCCCGTTAGTTGGATTTTAATGTGTTTGTTTTTTCTTTTCACCAGTTGCCTTCGTCCAAATACAGATACAGCAAATGGCATGAACTGGAAGACATGGATGTTAAAGGAAACATGCTAAGGTCTCCCAGAGTCAGAAGGAGTAAGTCATTCAAACTGCCATGTCATGTTTTAAACGAAGATAACTCGATTTTCCTAAAACATTTGAAACAGTTTCAAGGAGGTCCGAGACAGCGGATCTTTACACCATATGCAAGAAGATAGTTCTGAAATATTTTGGTCTTAATTGATTTATTGTTCCCTTCCCCATTGGGTTTTTTTTTCCGCATGACTGAGGCATGATATCCTGACCAAAGTCAGTTCACAGGATTGAATAAAAGCATGTGAAATAAAATGAATTCCTTCTAATTTTATCATCCCTGCCCCCTACTTAACCCACCTCCTTCAACATATAACATTTCCATTATCTCCAGCCCCTGAAAATTTATGCAAACTGGTGTGATTTTCAATTTTGCTTGTTCCAATACACAAGCTTAATCTAAAACCCTTTGATCTTCTCCAGCACCTCAAGGATTCAAAGTAGAGAATATTCGTAAAGTGCATGAGCAAGAAAAAGAAGAATTAGAGGAATCTGATAATGAAGAATTCAGAATTGCTGTACCCCTCAAAAAGAGCAAACCAAAAAGAATACGAAACTACAAGAACAAGATGGAAAACTGGGAAAATGCTGAGGTAAATTTGTGTCCAATATATGCACACTTAACTTATACGTACAATTTCTGTTGTGGAACATCTCAACCTGTTGTAGTATTTGGATTAAATTGCTTTGACATGCCTGTAAAGAATTTTAATTTAGTTTTGTCAACTGAAGAGTTGATCATGTAAATTGGCCACTGGAAAGAGTTTCTGAAGCTGACATGTTAGGTGTTAGGCCTTTGTCATTCAACTGAAATGTTAGCTTTAGAAACTCTTTAAAGTAGCCAAATTATTTACGTTATCAACCCAGTTAATAAAATCAAATTACCTTGCAATAATCTCCTGATGCAAAACCCCAGTTTCCTTAAAAACTTACACCCTCTATTTGTTGTAATGAAATTTTTTTGTTTTTGTTTTTTCAGTCTGTAAATTTATCATATCAAGATTTAGGGCATCCTTATCAAAAGAAAGAATTTCTGCGGGTCCTTAGAAGGCTTTTAAGATGTGAAAATTTGCAGCTTATGGAAAATTCTATACAAGATTTGAGCAGTGTTCTCCTTCCGAGGTGGGTCAAGTTGGACATTCTTTATTGTTCTTCCTGGTAGACTGAACCTGGGTTATAGTATTTCAACATAAATTTTAGATTGATGTTGTCTAAAGTTATCACTATTTTTGTTTTTTTCAGATGTTCACATCTTTACCTGCAGAGAAATTTCATAACTGATTTGAGGGTAGGTGTTGAGAATTTTTATTCCTCTTAATGTATTTTAGATAATTTATTCATTGTTTTGATGTACATCCAAATTGCCCCACTCGCCTTCACTTTTATGAGTGAAATATCCACAAGCGATCAACCCTTTCACTAGCATCTGGTATCTCCCTATAATACCACCCAGGTGAAACACCATGGTCACAAGAATAAAGGAGATGGTTACCAACAGAGAAGTTCTTAGAGAAAGATGGTTTTTGTCTTGTCACAAGCATGGGACAAAAAAAAAATTCTTTGAAGTTCTTGATCATCATACTGATTCTCCTTGTCAGTGCCTTGTGAAATTTATAGAGAACATTATAGAGAGAATGCATACTGATGTTAGGTTGTAAAGCAGGGCTTGAACTTAACTTTTTTGTCTACTAGCAAAGTTTTGCTAGTAAGATTTTTTTTACTAGCAAAAGAAGGAACCTAACTAGCAACTTTTCAATGCAGCCATTTTCAGCGTTAATTTTTTAATCGAAATTCTACTGAAAAAATACTGGTACTCGCAAATGTTTGCTAGAGGATATGTTTTAGACTCGCAACTTTGAAAAACCACTGACTCGCATTTCGCGAGTTTGCAAGTGCTAATTTCGAGCCCTGTAAAGGGTTAAGTTATAGGTGCAACTTGCAGATTCTTTAACTCTTTATCTGTATTTCTGACACAATTATTGTTGTTTCCTAGAAACTTCCCAGGGCTCCCATGCTACTTCACTTATCACTGCAACAAAATAATGTGGAAAGTTTAAAGGGTCTGGATCTACTGAGAAAAACCACAATTCAATCATTAGTCCTTAAAGGGAATCCTGTGGAGTTGGAGCCAAACTACAGACAGCAGTAAGTTATGTTTTAACCTTTTTAAGTGTAATTTCTGTTTCTTTGTCACCTACACAGACTTGACCAATCTGAATACTGAAGAAATTTCATTCAAATTCTTTCCTTTTTACTTGCTCAAGTCTTTTTATTGTTTCATCATTTTGGTTTAGTGTTTTGACCTGCAAAGTGGTCAGGTTTTTTTTTCTCAACCATGTCCTGGCCAAGATCACACCATCTAATTCAATTACGTAAAAATCTCATTCTTATGACTTGTCTCTTTTTGTGAAGAGACTCGCTATTTATCTTGTGTTGGCTCAGTTCTCTCAGTTCTTTCCCCTTGATGAGCCATATTCCTACAGCAAATTTCCTCTGGTACTAGGATTCTTGCTGATCACCTGTAATTTAATGCATCAAGCATTAAGGTGCAGTTTTAATGCCCTCTATCTGTCAAAAAATGCTATGAAAATTATTCACAGAATTAACACATGAAACAAGAAGTAATTTTGCATGGATCTGTCCTGAGGTTTTATATAAGATTGTGAAGGTGTTTTTAAAGATATCATGAATCTAGGAAGCTAATATGAAAACACTCTTTCCTTTTTTCAGGGTATTTAGAATTTTGCCTCACCTACAGCTTCTGGATGGAATCCCAAGGTTAGACAGTGATGATGCAGACGCAGTAGTTGATTCAAAGACATGTATTGTGTCATAGCAAAAATCGCCTAGTGTATTCTACAGTCATCTTGTGGACTTATGCCAAGGCTAAGAGTGGATCAGACATGGAACTGCTGTAAGGAGACATGGAACTGCAGTAAGGAGATCCAAGACTGGACGCTCAGACAGAGAGTGATGAGCGTTGTACTTTCTGGTGATTTTGACAAGAAGGGATAATTCACTTCCAGTGGGAGAAGATTTCCACCCTACAACAAATCACTCAAATTATGCTTGAGCTGAGCTAATGAGACACTATTCTATCTTCACAAAAATTTAGCAATTTCTCCGTATTCGTTGAGGTATTTTAGATGCAAACAAATACTGATGTAGCAAACACATTCTTATTAAAGGTTTATTGTACGGTTTCTCAGTTGATTTTGAATAGGTCACTAATGTAAATATTGATCTAGTGAATCAAATTTTACAAATATGCGAAACATTTGTGAATATATTTAATATATATTCTTATGTATATTATTAGTGAACAAAGAAAATTTTGTAAAGTATTTATTTTTACTTCTCTTTAGAAATGTTAAATAAAATCTAGATGATATGAACAATGTTAGCTTGATCTGCATAGCATTATATCGTAGCTCAGAGGAGTTTTTTAAATTGTAGCTTGGAAAACTCCTTAACCTTGAATGACAAAACGAAATATTGGCGCCGTTGGATTATACAACACTAAACGGACTACAATGAACTAAGAAGGAAAAAAGATCGACGGGGATTGAGAGGATTAAAAGGGATGGTATCTGTTAAGCTAATACTAAACAAAGATGTTTTTCGTTCTTTTTTCACGGGCGCGGAACGAATAAAAATGTTTTCTTCCCCGAGGAATCGTACACTGTAGACATTCGGACTTTACTGTGATAAGCAAGGCGGTTATTAAGTTCATACGTGACAGGCGCCCTATATACTGCGAGGTACAGCACTGTCGTTTGAGTCAGTTTAGTAAGAACGATGGAGAACTTGTGAGCTCGATCGTCGAGTCGCATGAAGTTTCTTCTATACTAATTTACTCTTATATTATCGTGTTGGAGAGACATCAGTAGGGGTCAGAGATAGCCACTGATGGTGTTGCAGCCATCAGGGCCGAGAGGTTTAACTCACGAAGAATCATTCCCTCTCTCTCATCACGTTCCTCACTGTGTCCCGAAGGACTACAGGTAAGGATCACCCTAACTGATGATAACGAAGTCACGTGCTCTCAAGTGTATTCATTGCCCAGTCAAACTGCCACTTGTGGGGTGCATAAATCTAGCGAAATAAATAAAAATGTGTTTTGTTTGTCAAATTCACACTACCAGCTCTGGGTTACGTTATTAGCAAATAGAAATCGCGAGAATTTCCGAAAGACGCGATATTATTAAACACGCAGTGATGTTAAGAGATTTTTACAATACGCATGCGCAGATAAATCCTTCTCTTTCTCTCTCCCACTCTCTCTCCCTCTCTCTGTCCTAATCAGAATAATAAATATTCCTTTTTTACATGATGAGCAAAAAAAAAAAAAAGGACTACAAGGGTAAAAGCTAAGGCATTAATGAATTCATTTCATTTCATTTCGCCCTCAACGCCTACCGTGTGGGCGTAGAACACATTTAGCGCAACTTATATTGGTTTGCAAAACGTAGCGTTTCCCGCCTACCATGAAATATCAGCGTCGCTATTCTTTGACTTATACTCCTAGTAAGAAAAACCTTAGTCGTAAGTGCTGTGGTTCTTTGCTTCGTTTGTGTGCACAATTGCCTTTTCCTTCTTTCACGCGCGACCAAACTAACTCGCGTGTATCCCTTAGGATCCACCGCGTAACACCATCGTTCATCTGCAAAATGTCCACCCCTATGAAAGCCGTCGCAAGAGAATTTTTAGTGAAGGACTAAATGACGTAAAAAGCGGATAACACGAAAAGGAACTACGATGGCCATTTATTTTTCAGTGCGTCAAGTATTTAGGACTTCATCTTTCAAACTTGCCAACATTAATCATTTGAATCACTTCCACGGCGAAATAAAGGCTACACTGAGGGATATAATCACGTTTAAATCCACATCCTATCGTTGGCCTTGCTTCAGCGTCTTACGAGTGTTTAGTTTAAACCCGGATTTAAAGAGCACGGAAACATGAGCCGAGCAATCGAGGAGGGAGGATTGACGAGTGTGTAGCCCTCGTCCACTATCCCCATACCTCTTGTCCTTTTCTACGCTCGATTTTTTTCCGTTTTTTTTTCAATGATAAAATTTGTGTTAATGGAAAAGGCATCCATGAATACTAATTTCGTTTGCTTTTCCCATAGACCAAGGAAAAAACCCTTTTAAAAAATAGCAAAAATTCCTTGTTCTTTACTTATACAAAATAAAAAAAAGCGCTATATTTTAGAAATAAAACGGCTTGACGCAGACGGAAAGGTTTTAAATTTGCACTGTATGCCGCAAATGTCCTTTCAAAACTGTCTTTTATTGCCAAGCAGAAATTTTAAAAAAGTCAGCTGTCTTTTATCGCTTCCTGTGGGACTATTTTTAGCACAAGTTGCGCTATTCCTGAAGCAATTATAAACACCCTCGTGTACAATGATATTTAAACTTTAGAAATTTTGGGGGAAGACGAAAAGAAAAAGTAAAAATAGATAAAACCTCCTTTGAGATAAATTTGTAGGTAATAGGTAATTGTGATTGATCTACGGGTCGCCCATATGATTATGTGACTGGCAAGAACAAACTGAAACGATTAATTTCATTTGTAGGCCTATGTACGTATCGTCATTTTCCAACTTCCGACAGCTTGATAGTTGTGGATTTATTTCATCATCACAGGCATTCAAGAATACGGAAATTCTGATCAGAAATTTGAAATTTGATGTACTCTTGACACAAATTGAACATCATCGCCAAGCGTATTAAGTAAATAGTCCCCTCACGCTGATATGGAGCCCAGGATAACATTAGCGCAATTTTTGACTAATTTCGGGTAATGAAGACCTCATTCCCTTTCCTGTAGATTGTTAAATCTATAATAATTTCGTTAAGACATGTAGATAAGAATATCAAATTGCTTCCAACGCGTCGGGTCTGCTGAGACATTACAGGAAGGTTCATTTACATATTCTTTTTATTCCGGTGGTTTTTGTTTTTACATTCATCGTGAAAAGATAGAAGCATGGTAATTTAATACTGTAACTAGAAATATTTCTATCATTAGACTGAATAAAAGGCAAAACTTCTGACCAGGAATTTATAGAAAGAAAAAGCCATAACTGCCATGTAGGCATCGTCACTCTTGGAATCAGATCCAGGAAATTCAATTTAAAAAACTGGCCTCAAAAAGAAGGTTTTCCCTCATTAATGTTTGTATTTGTCAACGGCCGTTTAAAAATTATTAAAAATCATTAAAAATTTTTGAATTTACACGTATGTGTAAAGATTTGCCGGCCAAGATCACATCGTCTATTTCCTTTACGTGAAAGCCTCGTTCTCGTGACTGGCCTCGTACTCGTGCACAATTTTGAGATCGGCTCAGTTCGCGCGGTCGGCTCTCCTCTTGACATCCTTCGTTCTCGCAAGCAACCTCACTCTCGTGAGCAGCCTCAGTCTCGCGAGTACCTTCCCTCTTGGATTAGCATCGCTCTTGAGCCGGACCGCCCCGTCGAGGCAGGAAGACTCGTTGTCATCTCTCCGTGAACCGTGGCGTCCTTCACTGAGGCTACAGTTAATCCTCTGCAAACTGGTCTGCTTAAAAAAACATGAAACACCCGGATGCGACTGAAATAGCTTCTTTATATTTGTTCTGCCAAAGCGTGGCCTCTGTTTCTTCTTTCGCTAAAATTTCCGCCATGTTGGCACATCTTCTCCATAACTTGGCTCGTCTTTCTTTTAGGAATGAACCGTCCTTCTCTAAGTGGTCCGCCGCTTGCAACTGCTTCGCTTTGTTTCTGACTGCTTCTTCTATGTTACGCTGTCGGAAAAAAACAGATCATACTGATTAACTAGCCAAGATCTGTAGATTAAAACTGAATTCTCTCCTCCAACTGTTATACATTTTTGTCATAGATCAGTGAGGAGAATTTGGTGTTAAAACGAGAGAGTATTACCTCGATCATTTCCCTTTCTTCATGAATCTGACTCGCTCTTCGTTTCGCGTATTCAGCTCTTCTCTCAGCAAGCTTAGACGCCACTTCTCGTCCGAACTGCTTGATGTCGTTTCTTTGTCGTTCTGCTTCGTACCCAGAAACAAATATTGGCGAGGACCTTCCGGAATCACAGGGAGGATGCAGTTTTTCTTTGATCTACCAAGAGAAGACAAAAGGAACAGATAAGTTCATGGCTTGCTATTCGAGTCAGTTTTTCTCTCTTTTTCTTTTTTCAATAAAGCTCGAAGCCCTCTGCTTGAAAAGGTCATTTGATTTTCCCAAAAGGAAAAGCGCTCTTACATGCGTGTTATTTTTGCACGCGCGTTACATGGTAACGTGTCTCCTACCATGTCACTTCAAAGCCATTTCAAGGAAAGGGAACTCTTTCATATCTTGATTTCTTACCTAAAAACATGATTGGTAATCTTCCCAATGTCTCTGCCTTACATTTTTGTGAGTTTAACTTGATTGATCTAGACCAATTATGAAAGCTACGTCGCTAGTGCGTGCTTTACCTCAACTATGTTTGCAATCGGCGGGTAGAGTAATTCCAGTGACCGAGACCTCTCGCGGTCATCCGTAATCGGGAAGAAAAAGCTATCGCTCGGGGAGCTGGGACTATCCGCTCTCTGTATCTTAACTTTAATGCTGGATAAATCCTGTGGAAAAAAAGATCGTGGTAAATCATTTTATAGTCGAGTCATGTCTTATCGATCTGCTTCAATTTAGGAAGAATGCATGATTGCATGCTGGTTCCACGACCTCTAATAGGGCTTAGTGACAAATCAATAAATAATCGATACATTCTCGTTCCCTCATAGTTCTCCTTTTTTTTTTTCATTTTTTATTTTTTTTGTTTTTTATTTTTTATCTATGATTCTTTTGATTTGGTGATTATTCAACAGTTTACGAGAACTGACTTAACCAACCTTAAGTGTGTACTGTCGATCCCAAACGACTCGGTCATCATCGAGATTCGAGATTTCGTTATCCCCATATGTCGCTGAAAGAACAAATAAAAAGTGTTGCAAAAAAAATTCTATTTGATGATATAGTCAATGAATACGATACTTTAAATATTCGTTTATAAAGAACTGATTCCTAGTCTCTATTCCCTGCTTATCTCCCCATTACATGCTTACCGTAAACAGCGCAGAGGGCTGGGGCGAGAATGGAGGATAGAGCAGGTTTCAGGGCTCTCTCTTGCCAGTCTGATCTCTTGAAAATGTCTTCCAAAGTATCAAGCTCAAACTGGGCCCAGTCTTCAAACGACCAGCTTGGAAATCTTTGAATAAAGTGGAGGAAAACAGATTGAATTAAAGTGTTAAAAGTAGTACCTTTACAGGGCACTCTCTCGGGATATCAATATTTTAACTTTATAATTTTGAACAAAATTTAATCTCACATAAATGGAGAAAGAGAAATGTTGTGAAACCAAAGCCAAAGATTGATGGGTTGTTGAAAAAAAGAAGTATCGCTGGGAACAGATGAGAATCCAAAAAAAATACGTGTGACTTGCCATAAGGGCGGAAAAACGTGAGTGTACAAGTGGCGATCGTCTTTAGGTTAAGCCTGATTGGTCGAAAGGGTGGCACGCGTTTTCTCTGGACTAATCGGGGAGTGAAGTAGAACTAACGAAATCCCAGATCTCTACCGACTCTAAATTATAAATTCCTTTAAGTGGTTGATGAACAAGATTTCCCTTCTTCTCTTAAAATAAATGATAGAAGTACGTTTTTTGTGGACATGACTGAATCAGTAATGTGATTTAATACAATGCAACCAAGTAGCCAAGAACAATAAGATGAAAACTTTGTGGATGCTTAAAAATTCGTCACAAAGGCTCATTCACACAAGATTTCCCTCTCGTTGATATTGGTTAAGTACCAAATAACAGGTGTACGATTTCTAGAAGCTCGAAAGGGATTTGAATTTTGTGTCGGCCAATAACGGAGCCTTGGATATTTCAGGTACTCGAGATGTACAGGGTGCCATTTGCACTTATGTCATTAACTGAGGCACGTTCATAAAACATGGAGATCTCGCAAGTTCAAGATTACGGAAAGATCGAGATTTGCGGAATTCGCCATCTAGGGATTTCACAACGATATGAATGGAAATCCGAGTCATATCGGCTTGCCTGAGATAAGCGACAAAATTGCTGTAATGCGGTTTAAATGAGAGAGGGTAATGTTTTTTTGTACGCTTTTGTGCGTTCGAAAACATTAATGAATTATGTTCAATGTGTTCCTGGGCTATTAACGGAATGATAAAATCATCAGTGGAACACCACAAGAAATTTGATTATGTAGAGTCAATTTTTTACGAATTAAAGAAATGACGCGCTGCTCTCGGCGTTTCGCCGTTAATTTACGTGAACATTGAAATGTTGTCTCGTTAATAAATAAATTTTTCATCAATTTGATTTAACATATATCTCCAAGGCGGATGCATTTGTTGAATTATCCGAGGAAAGTAAACTCTAAATGATAAGCGGACATTTACTTCAACACGAAAAATAGATCGAGATTCTTCCAAAAACGTCTCGAAATTAAAAATAAGTTTTTCTTTTGACATGTCCTTCCTAATGATCGCGAGGTGATGGCTAATTTAAGCGCCTAGCTTCGACGCAAATTTATGTCAAGCAAACCCTTCTGTAAAATGTTTTATTAGCAGAAGCGAACAATTCGAGATTTTAAGATAAATATAAAACATACGTGCTGTTCGAACTTGGAATCAGATAAATTTAACGATCATAGAGTGGCACCTCGCTTCCTCAGTCTTAAGAGCAAATAAAAGGCGCTGAACGGACCCAAAACTTTTCCGGTGAAATTTTCCGGTTTGAATTGCGCAGAATTGTTGATAAATATCACAGGATATTGTAAGGAAGCACAAACCTGTCAGGTCATTTAAACAGTCCTACGGAAAAAAGCTTTCATCCTAATATCTAAACACACTGTCGGCAACTACTTTCGCTTTGTCTAAATATCAACCGTAAACCAAGGCATTATTGATTATATTGATAAATAGCGTTAAATACACGATCAGTTTGCACGTAGCTAAAATACAATGAATAATATCGAACCGAATGACGTCACAGTAGCGTAAAAACGGCAAATGAAGACAACACCTTCTTGTAATCGATGTGTTTTTCATTAAGACATTTTCCCGCAAAATTTCGATCGATTTGCAATCTCACAAACATCGCTTAAGCGTAGATGTTCATTTTGGTTGATGTTTCTGAGCACGATTTAATGCGTAAAAACTATTCCGAACAAATAAATTTAAATTCCTTGTTTATTAAAATGCATTCCTGTCGATAGTTTAGTCACACAACATTTTTTTTTTAATTTACAAAGTTACTTCCTTGAAATACATATTGCAATTTATTTTTTCATAAAAACGCGTAGGAACATTGACGCACTTATACGCGGGCTTACAGACTTGATATTTTGACGTTTTACGATTTCAAAAGACCATTTTCAGAAAACATGTCACCCGCTTACATCAAGCTGGTCTGCTTCGTTCAGTTTTGCCAGTTAGTAGATTAAGAAGGTTATATTTCCGTGTGCGATTCAGAATTTCAGTGGAATTAATACTTGCGCAGGAAAAAAAAAATGAAAAACACCAATTTCGAAAACAACTGAATGGGGACTTTCAACGAAATGAGGAACAAAAATCTATTTTTCGCTGAAATGAGATGACAGTCAACATTTCGATGAACGTGACTCGATTTCAGCTTTAATGAATGACGATCTCTTTACATAGATTTTCCATTATTTACGGCAAAATTTTACTATTTACGAATTCATCCGTGTGCCTTTTTCAATTTTTATTCCATAACTTTTAGTGTCTGTTAAATCTGGAGCGACTTTTCAATTTCTCTGAAATTCACTAGCTATGGACTTGAATGCTCTTAGCGGTTTTCAATGTAACGATCTCAAAATCTCTTCAAAATCTACAAAAAATATCATCGAAGATTTTTGTTCTTTGAGGTAAACAAAGCAGTATAGCAATCGCCTTGCGTCTTAATATTTCTAAGGCAAATCAAATTCTAAATACGAGGATGTTTTTTTTTTTGCAAAGCTTCGGTTGTCATAAACGTTTCCAGTGGCTCATCGTGTTACGTAAGTGCATGAAAATTAAAAGTAAAGAGCAATTTTGAATTTTAGAAATCTTACCCGAGCGACCTGAAGCGAAGAACCATCTTCTTTCTATTTCAACTTGGAGAGGACAATACTGTACCTCCGTTTACCAGAAGAGGTAGTTTCATTTGAGCTGTATTCTTTGGCAGCTCAATTTAAACCTGTCCAATGAATAACATTTTGATGATTCTCTGACGTCAATCCAGTGCTAAATTTAGCGCGTAAGGCTCATGGCTTTGTTCTTCACTTATTTTGCATTTGGCAAACACCTAAGACGGAAATGTCTGCTTCAACAAATATTTCAATTTTTGCCTTAATTCTGTTCTATATTTTTCCTCAGTTATGTATTGGAGCATGCAGTGCCACTTTAATTGATGTCCGTGCATTTTACATGGATTTTCGTACTTTCGCTTCGCTAAATTTATAACCGGAAGAGTAATGAGAAAAACATAAAAGCCAAAATATATACAATACTTGTCAAAATGTGCAGTAAGGATGGATGAATATTAACATTGTTTGCGTTAAACCCCGTTGTTTTTACACCGCTGGTGATCAAAGTCTTCTTCCCTCAGTTTAATTGACCATATAAGGTCACTAAAGAATCATATGACTGAAGTTTTTTCCGTTTTTTAGTGGTCCACATGAAAAAACATGAATGAACTCGACGTGCGTAGAAATCGGACCCGAAGCACGAATATATCAAAAGTTTGCCCACTGAAATACTCTTTCTGATGCATTTCGTTAACTTAAAATGGCATTCTAAATCGATTCTTTTATCACAGACGCCGAAATGGCGCTCACTTGTTCCTCACTAGCGTAAGCTTAAATGGAATCCTGCTCGTGGCTCGAATTATGAAATAAATTATTCAACTTCACTCATACAAGGAATCCTTTCGCGAGGCGGCTTTGCTCAGATGTGTATGTTTACCGTTAAAACGCGTACGATGAGCATGCCGATAAAAGAGAAATGATGATTTTATCTGTAAACATTACAATCATCGCCTTATGATCTGTGACGATATTCAAATTTCATGGAATTAATCAGCTTTGTCTGCCAAAGCTATGGTGCATTAATTTTATTCCGATGTTACGCAACATTTCGACCAAGAATCAAACTTCTCAGGTTTATCTGGAGAACCGTATTCACCCGTAAATGACAAAAATGTGATCTTCTTCCCTACACATTTCACAAGCCAGCCCAATTAGGATCGAAAAAAAAAGCAAAAAATCTATTCCCAATATGGAAACACTGTATTTCAAGCAAATGTAGTAACTAGCTATCATTTTGAGATTTGCAGAAAAATTATCCTATCCATTCTTTGGGGATATTAACGAGGATCTCAATTGTTCTTTACTGAAAATAAAAAAAAAATTTCCTTTACATTAGTAAATTAATTGATTACAATAACAGACTTCCTTAGATTAGATATTGAAAATGAAGAAAAACATATTAAACTTTCCTTGTTTTCGCAAAACATTCAAGGCTTTCATGAATAATTTTTCTGCCATCAACCCGTTGAGCGCACGAAACATCAAAAATGATTACCTATATTCTGTAGATTAGTTGAGATGCTTTCTAGATTTTTTAGGACCAAAGACAGGTGTTATAAATAACTCAATGTCATGGTTCTTGTGCCAAACTTTTACGAATAGAAAGTTCATAACTTTACTAGTCACTTCCACGTAAAGGTGAAAGACAGCTACCGAAGCAAGTTGATGGAAGAAAAAGATCTTTAGAACGAATGTTATGACGAAAATCAGGTAAAGGACTTAATTTCCCTCCTGTAGCAGTTTTAACCACTCAACTGTTTGGTGTCCTTTGTCCTAAAGCGGTGACTACCTTTTAATACCACGAAATTCGACTAGAAATTAATTAAGACATATCGGTTTTCTCATCTTTTCTAATTTTGCTCGAGTGTGTTGTATTGTTTTTGTTTCGTTTTGGTTTATAATTTTAAGCTGAACACTTAAAGAGCCTACACTGACTTTGAATTTTAAGAGCCAAACTGCAGTTTTTTTGCAAAAATTAGCAAGCTTACATTACAAATTGAGAGCATATTCTCGTTAATTTGCTCTTAAAAACTATTCAATAAGATACCGCTTTGATTAATTGAACAATATTTTTTTAAGATTGACCATTTTACGTGGGATATAGGCAAAAGCTGGCCCGAGGTGATTTTCTCAAGAACACGATATAAATTTGTGATACCTAACGTTACTTGGTGAAGGAGTAAGTTTCAAAACAAAAATTTCTCACATGGCTAGATAAAAATGATTTTGCAGATTTCAAAATACATTTTTTCTTGTCAATGAAGGGTCCATTCTTGTCAATAGTTTTGAATCATCTAAGTTTCGGCTTCACTGAGTGACGTCAACCTTTGGAAGTGCCGGAGAAAACAGAAACATTGATAAAACTTTTCTAACGGCTTATATTTTTCCTGTTCATCCCTCTGCATTTATCAGTGGAAGAAGTTATATTATCCGTCCATAGAAGGTTTAGGAAAGGAGCCCTCAGTCCGTTTATTCGGCTGTAGTACGTAAGAATCTCTGGGAATACGCTCTTTTTTTTTTCGGACTAGACCCCACGAAGCCGGGCATAGTCATTAATTTCAGCTGAATCATATGATCCGAGAGAAACTGGTACGTAATGCTAATATGAGGGCTTTTACAGCGATGAAAACCCGTAGTAAAAATGAGCCAAGTCGCAAAAGCGCGGGAAAATGGGAGGGAGCCCGTAGTAATTGTTTTCACGTTTGCGTCTGATTGGTTGAGGCATAGGCATAAGCTTTTTGGACCAATCATAGAGCTAACCAAGGGAAAGCCAATGGATTGCAAGATTACTTCCGAAACTTGATTAAAAATAAATGAAAAGTCTTTAATCTGACTAATTAAAAATCGCTCGTTAGACGGATTGTTTTAGATAACACTTATGGATAGCAGTAGAATTCTCAAGGAAACGAATTCATAGGTATATGGTCGGTGTATATCAATTCCTTTTTATCGATAAATGGTGGAACAGATTCATT